ATAATACAAATAGAAGCAAAAGTTATGTGAAGAAAATCAGATTAAGTACGGTATGGTAATTGGAAGAAAAGAAAAGCTCAGAAAAGGAGGAACACATACACAAGTGACAAAACTGTATAGAACTACATTGTAAACTACTATTAATATGTTTATTTACAAAGCAGATAGAAGTTGGTCAAAAAACATAAAAAGTAGCATTGTTGGTGGAAGAAAAATTACCGTCACAATATCACCGGGATTACGTCCCCTTTAGTAACAGCATCACACATTCCTTTTATTTTAATGAAAAATGAAAGTGTGATGAACAATGTTCATATAGAGTTGACATAGCCTACATTTGTGTAAAATAAAATTGTTGACAAAAATAGGTTTCGCTTTTGTAAACTAGGCACAAAGATTACATTCATAGTCAAGCTATGATCATGAAAGTGAAAGATGAAAATTACAGTAGACTCCGCTTAGTGTATAACGTTTTCTGAGGTCCTTACTACACCTGATCTTTCTTCTTTGTGCACATTCCCTCTTTTTCTGTCATTCTCTCTCTCTCTCTCTCTCTCTATATATATATATATATAAAAATAATCTAATATATATACATATACTATGATATACTTTGCAACCTCATATACCAAGAGTCTAAAAAAGAGGGACCCATATTTATTAAAGGGCAAAAAGTCAGTTCTTAGGATCAGTTTCAATTTAAAAACTTAGCACAATTTTTTTTTAAAATCATAACTGTCATTTGTGCATCAAGTTCAATAAAACTTTGCATAAATTCAACCAAGGGGACATCAAATTTGTTAGTATGAAAACAGAAAAAAACTAGTTTGAGAATAAAAGTTTTTAAAATTCCAATCAAACCTGCTGAGAAAACACAAAACTTTACATAAATCTTAAATCAACCATTATATTATAATAACGTGTACTAAAATGTACATTAGATAGGCCAACAACAATTAATGTATATAATTTATTTAAAACTGACAGTGTTAATGTTATAGACCGACTGTCTTCCTTTTGGGTTTTATATGTTTGTTGGGTTGTTGTTGTTTTTTCTTAGAGACATGAGTCAAGGAAATAACCCACATACAGTCGAATAGTTGAAACTCAATGGTGAACAGAAGTTCTGTTCAACATTGAGTCATTGAAAAGTCCTGAGAATCAACCCAGAAACGTGCCATTTCAAGCTGTATAAGAGCTCTAGAGAGACAAATGGTCAACAACTGGACAGCCACCCCTTTCCCTGAGATTATTTCTATGTCAATTTTGAATAAATTCACATTATAGTTCATCAAACAATCTGAAATCTCAGACACATGTATGAAGAAGGAATGATTACAGAGATAAAGCAAGAAAGATCGAGATGAAAATTTATCAAAATTATTTTGCGCGTAATGTAAATCCCTCTTTTCTCTTGTGAATCTCCATCTCAAAAGGGGTACAATATCTTAAGTATACTGTAAACAAATAAAATATCAACTGCCAAGAAATAACAATAGTGATGATGCATTTAATTTATCTAACAAAAAACCCCAGAAGGAAGATGGACATAAGTGACAAAATTGTTTAGAGAACTGCATTGTAAATTATCGAACATTTTTTTATGTAGCCTAGCAGCTCAATGTTAACGCGTTATAAAACCAACAGACACATTGCCTGCTGCACGTGACTGTTTTCAAAATATTAGTGAAGTCTTCGCTTTTGGCTTTGCATCTACTTTTTTTTCTTTTTCGACACTTTCTTTAATTTTCTGTGACTGAGCTTGATAACTCTTACCTGATTTTTCATTCATTCTTGTTTCATATTGTTCTTTCATTTAACCATCTGTAGCTCAACTTTTCCTTTTTTCATTCTGGAGAAAAGCATTTTCCAGCTGTATCCTACCTACTGAGGAGACTTTTTAAAGTCGAAAGATCTTATTTTAGCTTGAAGCTCTGGGCATTCTGCAGAGCGTTCAATTACCTGCTTTGGGCATGTTTTTTTATATTTGTGTTAACAATTTCAAAGGGCTTGTGTGGTTTTGTTTTTAGAAGTAGC